AGAGCTAGGGAGGAAGATAAGAAAGGGGATAATAAGGCTCAGTCACGTTATATTAAACGGGATAAAAAAGCATGAAGAGGGAGCAAGCAATTAGTTCAAAAAATAAAGACATTGGAGAGCAGGTTCCAGGAGGAGATGGTCGTTTAAACCTTGACCATTATGCCAGCTCCACCGAAGTTATAATCACGTGTGGCTGTCCCCAATGTTTGTATTGGCTTACCCGAGACGCAAACAATGGTCGCTCACAAGGGCATGCAACCGCTTGAGTGGGATGAAGGTAATGTTTGCTTGTGATAAAGTTGTCCAGTTTTAACTTAGTTATTACGGTTACATTGTACAAAATGGACCACATTATGTCAACAACTATCAAAGCAATGCTTCGCTGTGTTAATAAGTAACTCTTGTTTATAACACCGAAGAGACTATGGCATAAATGAACACCTTCGCTGCTTCGATCACTCAAAGAATATCCGTCCAAAATGTCAATGAGTGCACAGATTTACAAGGTGTTAGACTAACCTTTATCGGGGAGGCAGTCAATTCCAAACCAGCGCATCAACTTAAGAGCAGACCGCTCACCCCGCTCGGTTAGATAACAGCCAATCAGAGCCTCAACACAGTCAGCAATAGATTTATCCGGAATGGACTGCTGGATTGTCACAAAACACTGCATTGGGCCGCTGACAAGGAGAAAAGGTGAAGAGAGTTAGCTTCTGAGCGCAGAAAAGATTGAGGATAGAGCTTAAGCAACTAGGCAATAGGCAGCAAAGAATTCAAAAAAAGTTTTAAATGTCATCTCGGTCTGACCGTTTCTGTCCGCTAGGCTGCTTAAACGAACATACGCGGAAAGTTTTTTTCAGTAATAAGTTTCTGGAGGGATGTCAATAGAACATGCAGTCAGAATGCAAACAGAAGTAGTGACTAAAGGGCTATAGAGCAACAAAATGCAGGACCTACGAATTCAATGTTTGCAGAACGTCGGGGCTATTCGGATCAAAAGTGCTAATCAAGATTGGCTTGTCTTCGGATTCAGAGTCCGACTGAAGCTCGATGGCCTTTGCCGGAGCAGCCTTGGGCTTTCGGGGGTTGCGCAGGCGGCAATCATAAGGGACAATATATCCTGGAGGGACCCAGTTCTCGTGCGGTTCGAACTTGGCACCGACCATACGATCTGGCAGGTTCTTTAGACGGCCCAGTGTAAAAAGGTTGGAGTTGCAAACCTAAATTTAACGAAGAGGTAAAGATTTTAAGACCACAAAATTATCCATCCGGCTGTAGTATTAAAAGGAAGTGGAAAAATTGCTAGGGCCGATAGACCCGAATGAACAAACCCCGGAGCCAATAACGAAATTGACACAGCCAGGGTCGCTTTGCTGAAATGTATATTCGTACAAACTTAGATGAACATCCAAGATCTGAACGAATGAGTGTTCAGGGAGCGCCCTATGCGTGTTCAGTGTGGACGAAAACATAACACCCCGGCCACTGTAACCAGTTTTTTTTCCCACTCAGTTTTGACCAAAAGTTGCCCCTGATACCTGAGGGGGTATGGAATCAGCTAGAAATCTCGTGAATTCAGAGGACATGATACACGAGAAAATATATTGTTGACAGTCACTGGGATGATGATACTGCAATGCTGTTGTAGGGATTGCAGCTCAGATAAAACGATCCGACTACCTGACAGTGGAGATCCGAAATTTAAGGACGTGCCGCTATAAACCGTAATCTGGACATCACAACGCCATGGACAACCGCAGAAAATTATGACATCGAATGTGTTTCTACTAATGCAAATGCGAAGAAACTGAGTAGTTGTAGACAGCAGTAAGTTCTATAATGAACCATTTTTCAACGCCAGTTACAACCAATATGCACTGATAGCATTAGTAACGGAAAAGACACTTCAAGGGAAGGAGTACTTTGCCAAGATAAAAGGGATCTAAGTATGACTGCAGTCTGCCACCTGGTAAGAACTTGGGTCAAAAGAAAAACCGAATAGCAAAGTATAGTGCAAGAAGTGGGTGTCAATGAAAATATGAAAACGCTATTTAACTGTATTACGGCCTATTAATTCAAAGAAAGGAGACATAAATACGATGCTTTCACTAAGCCGATCAATAAGACAGGGCATAAGTCCTTGATTAAC